ACCCAGCAGATCCCCTTACGAAGGGACTGAGTAGGGTTAAGCACTTGCAGCACGCTAGGAGCATTGGGCTGAAGGACGATATTAGTTTAGATTAGATAGCTTTGTAACGTGTAATAGATAAATTGTAATTAACATTTGATGATTAAATAAAGGTGTATTATTTATAAGTAAAGTTACTGTCTTGTGTTAACCATTTACCTATTGTTTCACTTTGCATGTTTTGACTTCCTGAATAATAAGATTATTCGAACGATCCACAGTCGCTCATACTTTGTAAGTAGGTATGAAAGAAGATTGTCATGAATTGGTTTGTAGATTGTCTGAAGTGTATTAGACATAGCAAAAGTTTGCTACAACGTTCATGAGTGCTTATGAACTAAGATTTGAGCATTGGAATAGACCCACGCTTGCTGGTATCGCTTCATTGAATTTATCACGAGTGATCGCAAGACGATAATATCATATAGTCTTTAAACTTAGATATATGGTTTATTGTTTGCAAGTTGGTTGTGCATTGATAATGCGTAAACGCATCAGTAACTTGATGTTATAAAACACATTGTTGTGTATAATCTGATGAGTGAATGGTAAATGCATATAAGTCGAAGTTTATCTGTTCCTTTTATCCTAAGAGGGTAAAAGCGATATCTGGGCCCCTCGATGATTTGGTTTGACTTATGTGTCGAGCCCGCTCAGGACTGAATTGATGTGTTCAATTAAGTTCTATGTCAGATGTATCAGAGATCGAGAAACAAACTGCTGCACAATAAGTATGACTATGTTCCATGTACTTGTCCGCACGATATCTAAAACGGATGATTATACGATCCCTTATCTAAAGGACAGGTTACTGATAAGATCAGAGTTCGACTGCGTCTTTGAGAGCTACGATTGCTAATCGGATCCTAAAGTCGTACTTGCATTTATAGTTACTAGCCTTATCCAGGTGGGAGACGGTTGGATTAGTGTCTAAGCCCGTAACTATATTTGGTATGTACTTGACCCGGTTGTGCATGGTCCTTTTGGGTTGCCTTCACCGAAGCAACTGGACAGGATGATTTATGGAGAGATATAGAGAGGTTATTATGGTTTATTAATATATTATATGAATATATGAGAAATATATAGTAATTAATATTGGTCATATAGTTTAATTAATATTGGTCAAGAATTAATTAATAATTAATTTTGTGGCTAAAAGAGATTAATTAAATAAGGGGGACTGGAACTGTTAATTATAAGATAGTTGATTTTGGGCTGTGAATCCTTATGGAAATAAGGGGGACGAAATCTAGAGTGAAGCCCACTCTAATTTCGTCCAAGCGGCCTTATTCCAGAAGGTTCTTGAAGCTGCATAGGGCCTAAGTTATCAAATTAGGGTTTTGACTGAAACCCTAGCAGCTCAGCTATTTAAGGAACCCCTAGGGCTACAAATTTCGGCCACTGGAGAAACCCTAGAGTTACTATAGCCGAAATTGTGCCTCCTCCTCCCTCTCTTCTAGATCATCTTCTTGCTTTGGTGTTTGTAAGCCATTAGAGGTATTACACTTGTGATACTAAACTCTTGAAGATTGAAGATTCTTGAAACTATTGAAATGTATCATCTAAACTTGTTTTATTATAGATATTGTTTTTCATAGTATGCTAGATTAGGGTTTGCAAGATTTGGATAAATTTGCATGTACAATAGAGAAACCTAGATCCAAAGCTTTAGGGTTTTGCATGTGCACATAGGATGTTCTTTTGCTCAAAACCCATCAAGCTCATGCTGCAAAAATCCATGTCTACCTCGAGAATCTTATCATGCAAAAAATAAAAAAAACCTCCTTTAGACTTTTGCCACCATATTTTTCCAATTTTGGCAACTTTCACACTATTGTCACAACGTTTTTGGATTTTCACCACTAGTGTCCATTCTTTTGGTCGTTGTACACTTTTGGTATCTAAATTTAGGGGTTGTCGACTTTCTTCCCTATTTGTGGCGATTTACACATTCTGCACATATCTTTTAAAGTTTGCCGATTTTACCTATATTACCCCAAAAATAGCATACATGTGCGTTGTTTACTAGTTACAAATTAAAAATGCATAAAAAACAAGTATGTTGATTTTATTAAACCTTTATTATTTATTATTTAAAAGGTTAATGTTGTTTTAAAATAAGTTATATTTTCTAGAATATATAAACTAGTTTTTTACTTTGAAATATTTAAACAAGTTCAGCCAAAGTTAATTGAAATAAAAAATAAATATTGAAAATCAAGACATTCCATTAAATTAAATTAAAAATAATTTGAATCTAATTCGATCAATAAGTTATATTAAATCAAAATTATATAAAATTTAATTAATGTACATGTAATGTATTATAATGGAGATAATGAGGTTGAATTTTATAATAATCTTGAATGATATTAATTTGAATTTATTTTGTTCATTTGTTATAATTGTTACAATCGAATGAATTCCAACTTTTTAATAAATATATCTGTTTATACCAACTTTTTAATTTAGTATAAAAATAATATGTAGTTTTCTATAGTATAAATATATAATTTTAATTGGGAGAATTTCATATACACCCTTAATAAATAGCTTAAATATCATATTTATCCTGTCTAATATCAAAATATCATATATACCCTAATTGAACAACTAAAATATCGTATTTGCCCAAAACCTTATTTTAATCATTTTTTGTTATTTAAAATCATTTTAATCATTATAAAACTTATATTGACTATAATACCCTTACCTTCATATCTTATTCTCTCATTCGTTTATGTTTTGGGGTGATCACATATCTGAAAGAAAAAAAAACCCTTCGTTGTTTGGTTCTAACACCATGTGACCCAAACTCCCAAACATCATGCTTACCTTCAGGGGCGTAGCTACTCATTGATAAGGTAGGTCCTAGGACCTACCTTTTTTTCTTTTTTAATACAACAATTATATATAAAAAACATAAGGAACTACCTTATTTTTGCCAAAAGATCTATATTTTCATACTTTTTTCCGTTTCATTAATATAAGGAACCACTTTGATTTTGGTTCTAGATTCGCCACTGCTTACCTTGACTATTCACAAGCATCGCCATTTGCATCTACTCCCTAAACTCACTAGAAAATAAAATCAACTCAAGTACCTTGCATGATTAGAACACCACTTCTGTGGTTACCGAGAGTATGCCAAAGCTCACTAGAATAACTCTTTTGCAAACAGTTAGCACACCTCCTTTCTTGATCCATATGAAGTTAGATCCACTTAAGACATCATTGGTGATAAATCTAGAGCTCATATTCACCGATACCTCATGGTATTTAAGTGAACAAACTCCAATTCTAAACTTATATCTTGCCGAAGATCTTTCTGTTATTATCTGTATGCATCTCTAGTCACCGAAAACCTCTTTCTAGCTTCATATAAACACAGATCACACACAACTTCATTGAAAACTATACAATGACCAAATCATCATTCTCCCTTCACTTCATCTTCCTCATCATCCAACATTCATATCACCTTGCTGTCGGGGTACTACGTAGATGGCGGGTATAATAACGGTGAAATAAGCACCCATTCCTTCCATCAATGGTTGATCATATTCATATCCTTTGTCCTGCTTGTAGCTTTACGTACTTTACATAAAACGCAGTCCCTATCCCTCGTCTGAGACGCTATCCTAAGAGGTAAGACTCCCCGGAAAAAAAACGAGTCACATTTTGTATCTTAGCAGGCACCCCTTTGCGGTAGTGAAATTTATCTTATGCAATGGAACACTATTAACTTACATTATGTGTTTGTATTTGGATATTTAGAACTTAATGGCAAATGATGTGTGGAAATTTTACTTGTAACTGCAGAATGAATGGCTATTAATCTTTCATTCCCCTTTCCTATATGATTTAGATTTTAAAATCAATAGTAGTCTAGATTAATAATTTAATAGCGAAACTGATTAGTCTATTTAATTCCTTTATTGTTGGGTTATAGATTGATGTACGGAACCATTACATTTGTTAGCTTGAGTTGGATGTTTTCCATGGGATTAAAATATGAACCTTATGGATTTTAATTTTCTGACTGAGGCTCCTTTGTATTAATAACTTATATAGAAAACAAGTAGGATGATAGTAAAATCATGTTAAATTAAAGATTCTTATTATTTCATTAAAGAGAAAAAAAAAGACAAACACATGCGTTATCTTGTATTGAATCGATCAAAATTTGTAATACTAAATTTAAAACAACTCAATATATGTAATTAAAGTTTACAACTCATCCAAACAACTAGAGATGGACACAACGGTTTCAAATGGGTTTTTGGTCGATCTCTAAATGATTCGATTTTTTTGGACCTGTTTCGGAAAAAATTGATTTTATTTGGACGTACTGGGCGGTCTTTTTCTGGTCCGGTTTTTTGGGACCGGTATCGTTCTTTCTTGGTCTGGTTTCGCTGTATTTCTATAACCCTTTTCGGTTCGATTTTCGGTTTTTTCAATCCGGTTTCAATATTTACTGGCTTTACGTTTCAAATTCAAGTTTTTCCATTAACAAATATGTGATTAACGTTAAAATGATAGATTAAAGTTTATTAGAAACGATACACTAAAATTTGATAAAAGAAAAAAAAGTCTGGTAACAAAATAATAAAAAAAATGTGTAATTAACATAAAAATGATATATTTATAAACTTTGGCTTCTGGTCTTGTTTTGAGATCAATAACTGGTCGGTCTCATACCGGTATTGTATCGGTTTCGGAACAGTCTCATCTTTTTTGGGACCAATCTCATAATGGTCCATTTTTTACCTTCAAGTCTCATGTTCTCATTTTAATTCGGTTCGGTCCGGCCTTTTTTTTAAAGAATTATCCGAGCCTCGTCGTTTCAAAAAAAAAAATGTAGAATCAACCCGGCCGGCCTGACCCGTTTTGACAAAGCCCAAATCATCGCTAAACCCGGTTCTTCCTGTCGCATATTTTCCAGATTGTTCCTATTTGCAGCTCCCGCCACAACTTTCTGCTTCTAAACAACCCTAAATCGATACATTCTTTGGTTGATTGCAGAAATTTCACTTTCATTCTTTCCATTTCTGTCAAAAATTTCTGTTTGAACTTCTAAACCACCTCCTCCCATCGCCGACAACCTCTTCCCACCTTCTCTCATCGTCGACCTCGCACACCCAGAAGCTTCCGCAGCGACGCCAAGCCACTGAACCGTCGTGACGCACCAGGTTCGTTTTTCTCTGATTTCCTAGAAATTGATTGCTGGGAAATCTGTTCTTGAAGTCTACACATGAACTCTGTAATTGAAGTCTAAACAAGGAGTTGCTTTGCCAATGATACCTTCGTGTGGTATAATTTGTAATTTTGGTGTGTGTAATCCCTTTTGTTTACTCTGGCTATCCATATTACAAATAAAACATTATGCTGGTCTCATTTGGGCTAGTTGAAGTTATTTAAGCTCAAATGGGTTTTCCAGTTACTCGATTCAAAACCTTCAAGGCCATGTCTGTTAATGGCTGATTTGGTGACTCTCTTTAGCTGCTGCTCTGTTAATTCAAACCAAAGTTCGTTTCCCTTTTGGATTAATGGAATTTTGGTGGCTATGAGTTGAATTTTACAAAATATAAAATGTATGATGATCTCATTTTGCTGTGTTGTTGAAACTCGATATGATTGTGTGTTGACAGGTGAAGAAGTATGAAAGAGCTCGTGACTTTTCAAGTTGGGAGTTATGCTAATTTTATCGGTTCTCACTTTTGGAACTTCCAGGTAAAGTATGCATCGATGTGTTGTCATTGATCTGTTTAACTATACATAACTTATTTCTTCAATGCATTTTCAGAAGCTTCTCGTTTCATTAAATCATTCTGTTTCCCATTTTTTAAGGATGAATTGCTTGGATTATTTGAAGACCCTCAAGCTGACTTGGTCTTCAAGAATCAAAACCTTGATATGGATGTTCTCTATCGCACTGGAGAGACTCAACAGGTAAAACCAAGGGCAAAATAGTCATACTTCAATTAAATATTATAGCTCATGTATCATACTATCATACTATATACTTATAGAGTCCTATCATTATTGATTTAACAATCTACAGGGCATCCCTACATACACACCTCGCTTAATTTCAGTCGATTTTCAAGGTAATCACCAAATTTGAAAACAAATAGAAATCAATATCTTAGTATTAGTAAACCAATCTAAATCTTATGGTTATAATTTATAATCTTATATTTGTAACTTGCATATTATAGGATCTCTTGGATCCATGAGTTCACATGGGACATTATACAACCAAAGTTCATCACTTTCATCAAGTATTACTACATGGTGAGACTTTAATTTTGTATACCTTTCTTAATTAAACTATTATTTCTCATATCATATGTATTGATAATAACTTTACAGGAATGGAAATGTTTCTACTCAAGCATCTGAACCCTATAAAAAGAACTTATTCTTGCAAAGATTGTATGATGAAGGGAAAGAGAAAGTTGCTAATGCAAATGGTGATTCACAAATTGAGATTCAAGATACAGATGTAGTTAATTCACTTGAAGAAAGTGTCGAGTTTTGGACAGATTATTCAAAAGTTCATTATCATCCACAAAGTTTATTCGAGTTAAACGGGTCATGGGTCAACCCACAAGAATTTAACAACTATGGAATTGGAAAAAATACTTTATCTGAAGGTCTACAAGGAGATGAAATCAATGAAAGATTTCGTTTCTTCATAGAAGAATGTGACCATGTTCAAGTATGTTTCTTTATTTCCACAATTAATTCATTTCTCACTTAAAAGTATTAATTTTTTTAGCTTTAAAACAGGGAATTCAATTTATCATTGATGATTCAGGAGGATTTTCTGGTGTTGGTGCTTCAATTTTGGAGAATATTGCAGATGATTACACTAATGTTCCTGTTGTACTCTATTCTGTTCGAAGCCCTAGTTCTTTTATAAACCCTAAAACCCGAAAACAAAACGTTTATAGTAATCTTCATGATGCTGTGTCATTTTCAGCACTTTCATCTTTATGCAACTTAATCATTCCTGTAGGTTTACCATCTTTAAACGAAAGTAAGCAATGTACTTTTTTTTATTTGTTTATTATAAAATTCTACTTTAAAAAAACATGTACCTAATTATATACAAATTGTTGTTTTTTTTTTTAAAAGGCAGGTTTTCTCAATTTCTTAATCTACAAGACAACAAGTTGTATCATTCAAGTGGTGTTTATGCATCTGTGATTCATTCTGTTTCTCTCCCTTTTCGGATGAAGAGAATTGGTCCTAATGGTGAATCATTGAATGAATGTGGGGCCATGGATTTATATGAAGGGATACAAATGTTAGCAGGGCAAGGGAGGCAAAATTCCGTTACTGTCCTTGATGCTTGCATTCCAGCACCATCATTAGTTGGTATGTTTTTGTACAAGTTTTTGTGGATTTATTATTTATCACGATTGTATTGTTTATAAATTGGTGATTTATGAATTCAGGTAGAGTGTTTAAGCAATCTTTGCTTGAAAAGTTGCTGCCTTTGACCCCTGAAACTGCACATGATGTGGAAGACTTGCAAGCCATTGAATCGGTTATAGTGCAGGGAGTCCTTGGATCTGGTAATGATTACATGTTTGTTTTGTTTGTTTTAGGTGACATGACATGACATGAAAGTACAGATTGCACTGTGTTTGGTGCGTATTGGATTGAGACTGGGACAGATGTCAATAGGAAAAAAATTGTAACTTTTTGTCTCAATACAAAAATATGGAACAAGGTGGGACTGGGGACTACCTCTCGATATCCCATCTATGGAAAAGACGTAAATACCCTTCTCATCCTCATCATCAAAAATAGCCCTAGAAAGCCTGTCAAGTCCCATCAAGTCCTGTGTAATATACGGCTGCGTTTGTTACATGGGACAGGACTGGATGGGACTTGACAGGCTTTCTAGGGCTATTTTTGATGATGAGGATGAGAAGGGTATTTACGTCTTTTCCATAGATGGGATATCGAGAGGTAGTCCCCAGTCCCACCTTGTTCCATATTTTTGTATTGAGACAAAAAGTTACAATTTTTGTCCTATTGGGCATCTATCCCAGTCCCAGTCCAATGCACACACCAAACACAGTTCAAGTGTCTTTGTAGGGTTCTGTTTCATTGGCATAAATCTATGAATTTTATATTTTTTTATACTTAATTAAAACAGAGGAGCATGAGGCCATGTTGTCTGAAGTGAAGGAAGCGGTCGAAACCGCATACGAGAAGGCAACCACAAGGCCAAGATTCTCTCACTTATCGGTATCGCGGTGTCCGATTCCGATTCCGTTACCGTTTCCTTCGATCTTCGGAAAGCGTGTTGGTAGACGTGGGGAGATATTAAGTAACCCAGTATCGGAATCGGAATCTATGTCAAGGAGGGGATCGATTGATGTCCATTCAATTCCTATGGCGGCCCGATTGCGTTCTAGTACGGCTATTTTACCGTTTTTGGAGAATAGATTGGGAAACATTCGGAAGTTTGGGCTTGAAAGAGGATCGATAGGTGCGGAAGTTCTTAGAAATTGGGGTTTTGGAAGGGAAGAAGTTGAAGAGATTGGTGAAAATCTTTCGAAATTGGTTGTTACACTTGATCCTCATCAGGGTTATTCTTCTGATTCTGATTAAGATCTTATATTTGTTTATTTCTATATATAAATATAACAAGAGTACTAACGGCTTTTCTTTGTTGAAATCCATTAAGCATATGGATTTTTAAGGAATGTCGATTCTCTTTAAGCGCCTAGAGTAGTAGTTATAATTTTAGACCTTATTTGTGTGAAAAAGGGTTTTGATTTTACTCGAATATAAATGACATCTCTATTAACATCTATTGTGTAACTCAACCACTGGATCAATAAAAAATAAAAACTTTTTTGAAAGAATACATTTACATTTATTATTAATTATTTTTAAGAACTAAAATTTTTTATCCGTAACATGGACATTTTGTGTATTTTTATTTTAAACAATGGAATAATCAAATTTGGATTTTTAAGAATATTTTTTTTTTCCAAAAATCATAAACATTCTAGCATAAATTTTTAGAAAAAATAAAACTTTTTTTTGACAGAATGTGTTTTGATTCAAGAATGAATACGTTTACATTCTTGAAACTTGAAAGCATCTATTTTCATTCCATTGAAAATATATAAAAAAACAAACAAATTCCTGAAAGAATTATATCAAAACAAAAACAATCCCATTGAAATCTAAAACCTTTCTTTAAATTTGTTACATCGTTGAAAAAGTTACATAAAAAACATATACATTCTTCCAAAATTTTCATAAAAAAACAAACACCTTGAAAAAATGTGCTGATTAAGAAATTTTTACTCATTCTTTCTATCGTTTTAATTCTTTTTTTTTCTTTCAATAGCCTAGCAATTTGTTGTTTAAGTGGCACTCTAATGTAATTTGTTGAATCCAAACCTAGGGATTTGTTGGTTTAGCATCCTCATATTTCGGTTGTGGTGGTTGTTGATCTTAAGTCTCTATACAAAATAAAACATCAATTCTTCATACAAAATCAAAATATTCATATTAAAACAATAAAAGGTACAAAATCATACTTTCTCCGTCCCAAAATTATTGTCCACAGACAAAAAACACATAGATTAAGAAAATCAATCATTAGTTTTGTCTTTTTTAGTAAAATGACCCTCTTGCTCTTTTCTAAAACCAATGGGAAATGTGCGTTTGTAATTATTCAAGTTTACGTTATTAAATGTTAGGGGTAATATGGTAAAAGTGTATATCTACTTTTGGTAGTTGACAATAATTTTTGGGACAAACTAAAATAATAAGGTGGACAATAATTTTGGGACGGATGGAATATATGAGAAATAGAAATTACACTATCAAATGTTAAAAATATTTCAAAACAAAAACCATATAGAGCCAAAGTAATGAAAATATAATCTTCTTTGTGCTACCAAAAAAGTAAAGGTCCAACACAAAACAATCCAAAATTCAATCAACTAAACATCGTTTCAAGAATGAGACTAAATATTTTTGAAACATCCCAAAAATACAGTCTGAAATTTTCGTTTTAAATTAGTAATAAAACCATATTCATCAAACGTCATATAAGAATCATAAACAATGTATCTCAAAATATCATAGCAACTGTCAAATATATCAGAGTATAAACATCCCAGGCTGAACAAATGGTGTGTGCACTGCAATCTTCCCGAGCTCCTCTTTTGAAAACTGAGTACCTGAAACCAAAACTGAAAACCGTAAGCACGAAGCTTAGTGAGCTCCCCCAAACTACCACATACCATACAATAACATATAAAGCACATACTGGGCCTTGCCCACTGCATCGGACCGAAGTCCGGACTAACTGGGGCCTTGCCCCCTGCATCGGACCGAAATCCGGACTAACTGGGGCCTTGCCCCCTGCATCGGACCGAAGTCCGGACTAACTGAACATAGCATAACATGATCATAGCATATAACATAAGCACATATACTGCATACTGCATCAGACCGAGGTCCGGACTAACTAACATATAAACATGCCTGAATCACAAAGACATCAAGCATACTGAACTACTGCATCAAACCAAAGTCCGGAACTTCTGCTATCTAAACAGGCCGGCATTGTGGCCGTAGACCCGTTCCTACTGGGAGGAAAACTCACCTCACACTGCTGAAGTCTCGTAGAGACAATCCCACACTGCTGAAGTCCCGCAGACTCAACCCTAGCTGCTGGATGACAGATTCCCGAACTGTCAACACCAAAATAACACCCAATTAATAATTGGGTTCTAACATATAACTATAAATACATACTTTGGATAATTACTACATTACCCCTAGCTTGGCTTACCCAAGCCCAAGGCCCAATCCATAGGCCCAAAGTCAACTAGGGATCAAAGCCCAACATATGGCCCAACTTTCCAAATTGGGCCCAAACCTCTACATGGACTTCCCTTAAGGCCCAATTGTTCAGTCCAGTCCAACATGTCTCATTCTAAGGGCCCAATATCATACAACCGTCTAAGCCCAAACTATAGCCCATCTATGGCCCAATTTTCCAAATTGGGCCCAATCCTTCATATGGGCCTTACCCTAAAGCCCAACTAATTATTCTAGTCCATTTGATTATTCTTGGATGGTCCATTAATAAACCAATTACCAAAGCTTAACCGAAAGGCCCAACACAAAGCCCTTGAGACATTAGGATTTCACATAAAATGACGATTAGGGTTAAGTGTTTCTTACTTAACCCATTAAGGACTTAATCCATTAAGTCCTTTACTCTACTAGATAAGTGATATGGAGTGATTTGGGCTTAATACACAGTCCAATCCCAATGGCCCAAAGGTGGGTCCAATAAGTCTAAGGCCCAAATGCACATAATTAGGGTTTTCCAAACCCTAATTAGGGTTTTCACTCAACCATGGCCCAATAGGCCTAAAAACAAATCTTTAAGCCCATTAGGGTTTTGCTAAGTCAATTAGGGTTTGCTAGAGGGGCACCACCCACTACCACCTCGGGTAATGGTGGTGAATGGCGGCTCACGGCGGCGGCCACCACCTTACGGTGGTGGTTACTATTATTATTTTCATTATTCCATGCAATTACAATTACAAGGCTTTTATCCAAAATACACACACTAACTAATACACACACACATCCACACCATGGTGGCCGGCGGTGGCGCTTGGCGGCAGCCACCACCTCACGGCGGTGGTGGTGGTTGTTCTTATTTTCCGGCTAAACAAAACACACACCATAAAATACGTCTCTTGCTCGGGAATACACACGACCACCCACTTCACGGTGGCACACGGAGGTCCGATAGCAACAGCAGCGGCACAACCGCGACATTTCCAATGGCGGTGGTGGTTTCTGACCAAAGAAAAATCACACATACTACATTGCAATTAATAAACACACACACACACACAGCCACCTCCTACGGTGGCTGGTGGCGGAAAAAGGGGTGGCAGCCATCAATGTCCATAAATGACAAGAGATCAAGACTCCCAACCACCGACTAGGAGGCTGGGGTCGTCGGAATGGGTTGAAGTGGCGGTTACAGGGCTGTCGGTGCCCACAGCCGTCAATCACGACACCAAGACTCGAAAAGAACGAAGGAAAGGGAAAAAGAAACGGCATATGCCTCTACCAACGGCTTCTCTGCAGTTTGCGACTCGAGCAGCAAAGAAAACGACCCATTCCTCGTTCCTCGGTGGTCCTCCGAGTTGTTCTTGACGTCTCCGGCCGGCAGCAGCGTCGCGGCGGCGCTCTAGTCGCGAGATGGTCGTTGGCGGCCTCGTCTGATCGGAAAACGCACAAGAAGGAGGAAGAGATGTCGGCTGAACTCGGCTTCACAATCCATCTCCGGTAGCAGGGGTCGTCGTGGCTCACACCGGCGAGGTAGCATGCGAACGGTGGAACTCAAATCGACGGGAAGCGGCGGCCTAGGAGCTCTCATGGCGGTGGCTGGAGTATTGCATCCTAAGGTTAGGGTTTTGAGCAATGCAAGAGTTATATACCTGCTACCAAAAATCTTCATTCCATATTGGCAAGAATGGTCCCTCCCCATAGAATCTTTTCAAACCAAGGCCCCTAATTTACCTTTTCTACCCCAGCTTCGGAATTTCCTTACAAATAAAATCCAGAATTTATCAATTAGCCCCTTAACCTCTAAAATCTTTTCAAAAGAAGTCCCATAAATTACCATTTAGTCCCTGCCTTCATAAATACTTACAAAACTAATCTGAAACTTACACTTTTAACCCTCAACTCTTAACATTCTTTACAAATTAGTCTGGGACTTGCATTTATTAATTTATTTAAATAAACGGGGCGTTACAACTCTCCCCCACTTAAATTTGATTTCGTCCTCGAAATCATTTCTTACCATTCCTTATACACCCAACTACTATAGTGAGATGGTCGCCATCCTGGGCACACCATAGCCTTCTCATGGTATCCATGACCTAATCTTTGCAAAGCCTTAAATTCCACTGGTGAACGGATTCCTCGCAACAGTCTACATCTACTCTGTCTGATATCTGCTGCCTTGAGATGGTCTGATTCCCTGACAGACCACTCATACTAAATCATTATCGATGAAACCAGCCTGCTTATCTCTCAACTGACCCCCTCAACATCCTGCTAGCTCGAAATTCCCACTGCCAAACAGGTTCACAAACCTAATTATCCCTGTAGATCACTTATACTTGGCCAATGCTCAGCTATTTCCACTGTGAGTGACTTGTCACTTCCCAATAAACCAGCTATCCTGTCTATACTTGCAACTTAGGGCACAATTTCTAGCATTGCCCAAACGCTGAAACTGCCCAAACACTGAACTGCCTGAAGCAGTATGCCGCCACATGGCTGCTTCCTAACATCTACCGAGACCTACCTGGTCTCAATTTTTCGCCAATCATTTGAAATACCGGGTTCCGGCCCGGTTGCAGAGCCAAAGGACTCCCACTTAGTCGTCTCACACGACTTCTGAACAAATTCCTTCTCTAGAACTAGTTGCCACTAGTTACCATGCCACTGAGGCTCTAATAATTTTCTGATCTAACTGATCGAGTCCATACGTCGAATCCTGACGTCACCAAACCCAAGGCTAAAAGTGATTGCTACATGACCAT